ATGTGTGAGTAGAGAGCAAGTAGACTCCAAGATGTTGCAGCTCTGAGAACACCTTGATTTTAGGATTTCTGACCTCCGTAACTGTAAGATAATAAATTTGTATTGTTTTAAGGCAAAAAAAGTATTGAAATCGTATTTTTACTCAAGGTCCTGCTCAAATGCCTTTCTCAAATGCCCTCACTTACTCCTTCACTAGTAGTTTGTGATGATCTCTTCCTGTAAACTACTAGTCTTTTTTCTAAATCTTCCTGTAACACTTAGTACTGCTACTACTTATCAGTTATTTATGTGCTGCTAGATTTATTTCCCCAACTAGCATCTTTCTTTCTTCCTTTTTTTTTGAGTTGGAGTCTCACTCTGTCGCCCAGACTGGAGTGCAGTGGTATGCTCACAACCACCACAACCTCGACCTGCTGGGCTCAGGCGATCCTTCCACCTCAGCCTTCCAAGTTGCTGGATCCACAGGTGTGCACCACACCTAATTTTTTAATTTACTGTAGAGATGAGGTCTTGCCAAGTTGCCCAGGCTGTTCTCGAACCCCTGGGCTCAGGCAATCCTCTCACCTCCACCTCCCAAAGTGCTGGGATTACAGGAGTGAGCCACTGTGCCTGGCGCATCCTTTCAATGACAGTTTCCACATCTTGTCCCACTCTTATAAGCATAATACAGTCATCTGTAAAATTTGTCAAATGAAAAATGTACCCATCACTTTATAGTTCACAAAGTGGTTTTCTAATCACGTCACAGTAAATGAATGATTAGAAAGGGTTTTTTCCCCCGGAAGTTAGGAGGAATATGCAAATTTAGAGCTCTTTCAAAAAGTAATTTATGTCAGAGTATCATCTGCTGCCCTCCTGTGTTTGATACAGAAATATTTTATGCTAGAGCAACAAGAAAAGAATGGTTCGATTAAATTTATGTGGACTACACTGTGTTTACTTTCTGATACTTGAATGAAGAATTTTTCACACAAAGCAATTATGCTTCCCACTAAGATGATCTTTCTTCAGTATATTTCAAGTTAAATGTAGTATAAATAACCTATTCAATTTTTAATACTTCTAGTTTTAAAATCTAAGACAATAGCTGATTTCAAATTATTCTAATATTTTTATATACTAGACCTACTTGGGCAACAGAACAAGACTTTGTTCTTTGGAATTAGAAAGACCTGGTTCAAATCCAGGCTTGGCCACTTGCTAGTTGTGTGACCTTGAGCAAATTACTTTTCTGAACCTGTTTCATTGTAAAATGAAAATAATACTTCCCAAATATCACATAAAACATTTAGCACACCATAAAAACTCTAAATATGTTAACTATTATTAATATTACAGAAAGCATGTTTTCAGATAACTCTTTTATCTGTTATTACCTATCTTGGTGAAACTGAAGATGGCTTAAAAACATGAATCAGCATGAAACCAAAATATCATCTGAATTAAGTTCTATCTTTTTATCTTAACCACAGCATTTATTGAATACCTGAAATGTGTCAGACACCATTCTAGACACTTAAGATACGTCAATTAGTAAAACAGACCAAAATCCTTGCCTTTGTGAAACACAGCTAGTTCATAGAGGTCTTTAAGTTACTGACTTCCTTCTAAATTCTTGTAATTGTTACTATACACATTACTCATTTGATTTGTTTCATTGCTTGAGTCACCGTCTCACTCTGGCACTCAGATTGAAGTACAGTGGCACCATCACAGACACCACAGCCTCAACATGCTGGGATCAGGCAATCCTTCTGCCTCAACCTTCTAAGTAGCCAGAACTAAAGGCACACACCACCACACCAGGCTAATTTTTTTTTTTTTTTTTTGTAGAGATGAGGTCGTGCCAAGTTGCCAAGATTGGTCTTGAACGCTTTGGCTCAGGCAATCTCATTTGATTCTTTACATATGCTACCCCATTCTATGTATCTATACAGTCCTTTCCTCTCTATCTCCAGTGTTGTTTTCCTTGAAGTAATGGTCCAATGCATTCACTTTTGAGCATATATCTGCAAAGTACAAATGTAAATAACTACAGTTTAATTATATCAGTTGTTCTTCCAAGTAAAAATGGCAGAACAGGGAATTTGTGAAAACTATTTCATTAAAATACTAGGAGTTTATTTGTTCTTTTTACTGTTACCATTTGCACAGATGGTACAAAAGCAGTAGTGATGAATCAAGGCAGTGACACAACTGAACTGCTAGCTATTGTATCCTTCATTCCCATGCACTCAATAAAAACTAAACAAAAAAGCCAAACCAACTCAGTTTCACTTAGGAATGTCCTTGACGAAGCAGTAAGATTACTAACCTGAAGTCTAAGCCCTTGAAGACATTTAAAAATATTTTTTGTGATGAAATTGGTAGTATGCACAAAGCATTTCTGCTGCCTACCAAAGTATGATAGTTTTTTTTTTTTAAAGGAAGATCACTTCTGATCGTTTGAGTTGCAAACTGAACTCATTTGCTGCTTTTTTTTTTTCCAGGCATACCATTTTTACATGAAAGATGAACTATATATAGGTGTTCAGACTTAGGCATATATTTGGCAGACATTCTCTTAAAAATGAAAGCAAGTGGGCCTGTCACTTTAAGGAAAATAATATTTGCTACCAAATTCATGCTTGATAGCTTGATCGAGTTCAAACTACCAAGCAAAAACTTAAACTGGTGGTAAACTTACATCATCGTGTTTTTCAGTTTCCCAATATTATAAGACCTTCCTGAGACAGGGATGATATTAATCAATGTGATTTTTTTTGCCATGTATAATAAATGTGTCAACATTTGGAAGGCCCGCGTAAGGCAGTAAGCCAGTACTTTCCAGATGACTGACACATGATGCTCCAAATCATGTATGGGTAAAAGATCCATTCAAGTTTAAAACAGGTGAATGAATTTTAACATAATGGAATACAAAGTTTATTGATTCTTTCAGATTCCATGTTGTAACTAACCTTTAAGAAGCTACCACTTGTTGGGTTTTGCGAAAATATCTAGGAAGAATATGAACAATTATTTGGAAAGGTTAAATCGTCCTCCTATACTACATATTTATGAGAAGTGGATTTTTTTTGTACTTTAACCAAAATTTCATATCCTAATAGTCTGAATGCAGCCACAGATATGAGAATCAAGCTATCTTCTATTAAGCCAGACAAAAAAACGACATCTGCAAAATTGTTTTTTTAAACCATTCTTGGCTGGGTTTGGTGGCTCAGCCTGTAATCCCAGCACTCTGGGAGGCCTAGGCGAGTGTATTGACCGAGCCCGAGGATTCGAGACCAGCCCGGGCAATTTGGCGAAACCTCATCTCTACAATAAATTTTTAAACATTAGCAGGGGCAGTAGCGTGCATCTATAGTTCCGGCTACTTGGAAGGCTGAAACGGAAGGATCGCCAGAGCCCAGCAGGTCGACGCTGGGGTGGCCGTGAGTGTGCCACTGCAGTTCAGCCTAGGTACCGAGACTCCAACTCAAAAACAAACAACAACAAAAACATTTATCTCATTAAACTGTTTTAGAAAACAGCTATTTTTCATAAAAAGTATTTTTATAAAATGAAATGACTTTATCATCATTTACGGTTGACTTTTCTGAGAAATATTCTTTTTTTAATGGATTAAATATTTTTATTTATTTATTTTTTGAGTTGGAGTCTCACTCTGTCGCCCAGACTGGAGTGCAGTGG